TTAGAGCTGCAATGTAAATATTGCAGTTCTCTGGACCTGCAATGTTTTACATTGCAGCACTAAGTGCAAAAGTGCACTACAGAGAGCTGAAGTGGTCTGGGTGCCTACAGTGTCCCTTTAATCAAGGAAGTTAGGGGGTTTATACATTTTCCTGATAACTTCCATGTGATAAATTCTTCACTGCCAGAAGGCATGAAAGAGTGTGAATCTGAGTTTGGACTGCTAGTCACTTACTGAATGTCATTGCACAACATCTGTCTGTGTGTTGGAGGAGAAAACAGTTTACTTGCTTTGATGTCAGTGGTTAGGTTGTTGGGGGGAGTGGTAATGACCAGCAACTTTGTAAACTTTTTTCCACTCCCAGTCTGCACTCCTGATATAATAAAACAACAACAATGAAAATTCCCAAAAAGTTATTAAGTGAAGTGAGAATTTAAGGTGAACTTCAAATTTAAGGCCAGAGTAGTCAAATTGAATTCACAACTAACAGATAAGTTTTCCCAGATCGACTATTTTGTCTTTACATGTGAAAAACACCTTGAATTCTCACTTCAGTAAGCAACACTGAAAGTGAATAAAAATAAATAAATACAAATTTAATACATAAATACAGCGCACAGAACAGAAAAATAAATAAAAATAATACACTATAGATTTTTTGTTTATTTATATATATATATATATATATATATATATATATATATATATATATATATATATATATTTATTTATTTATTTATTTATAAAATATTTTACCAGGAAAGATACATTGAGATTTCTCTCGTTTTCAAGTATGTCCTGGGTCCACAAATCATTGCATTGTTACATTAGGTACAACAAAATACAAAAACAATATTAATACACAATATATACAAAATTTAACATAGAACAGGCAGGAAATATATAATCAACCATGACACGTGCATTCTGTTTTGAGGTATGTAGAGAGGGATCTCTTAAATGACTTTAGGCTTAGGGAAGATTTTAAATTGTGCGGGAGGTCGTTCCACAATTGCGGTGCTCTGTAGGAGAAGGAGGATCGGGCCGCTTTCTTTTTGTATTGAGGTAGACTAAGTAAAGTGCTTGTACTGGATCGGAGTTTATAGAAAGTGGGAACAGCTGGGGAAAGCATTTTGTTCAGGTAGGGTGTGAGTTTCCCAGAAAAGCTCTTAAAAACAAGGCTGGAAAGATGAAGGGTGCGTCTGGATTCCAGCGACAGCCAGTTTAGTTCCTTTAGCATGTCACAATGATGGGTCCTGTAATTACATTGTAGCACAAATCGGCAGAACGAGTTATACAATGTGTTGAGTTTATTAATGTGGGATTGCGATGCAGACGCATATACTACATCCCCATAATCAATGATTGGCATCAGCATTTGCTGTACAATCTTTTCCTTTACTGTAGGGCTTAGGCAGGCTTTGTTTCTGTACAGGGCACCTAATTTTGGATAAAGTTTAGATGCAAGCTTTTCTATGTGCAGGCTAAAAGATAGATTGGGGTCTAATATCATACCCAAGTATTTGAAACAGTGGACCGCGGTCAGTGTGCCATTTGAATTTGTTTTGATGGATAGGTGGGGATTGTGTAATTTGTGTAATTTAGGTACCGTTCCAAAGATCATTGTGACAGTTTTGTCAGTGTTCAGGAAGAGTTTGTTTTTTGCGATCCACTTTTCTACCTCTGTAAACTGGTCTTGGAGCAAAGCCTCAAGTTGAGGTAGATTGGATTTGCTCGCATAGATTACCGTGTCATCTGCGTACATGTGTACATTTGAGGATTGGCAGACATTAGGCAGATCATTTATAAATAATGTAAATAGTAGGGGGCCGAGAATGGAACCCTGGGGAACACCACACGTGACTGGGAGAGGGAGGGAGTCACTGTCAGAAATGGACACATATTGCGAGCGATCCGATACATACGATCGAAACCAGTTTAAAGAATGATCACCAATACCTGAGTTTTCGAGTTTGTGCAGTAGGATGTCGTGGTCTACTGTGTCAAAGGCCTTAGCAAAATCAAGGAAAATAGCTCCAGTTAGGGCTCCTTGTTCCATGCCAGTTTGGATGTCATTGCAAACTTTTAGGAGGGCAGTTGTAGTGGAGTGATTCTGGCGAAAGCCCGATTGATCAGGGGTCAGATAGTTTAATTGTTGGTAGTACTCACAAAGTTGCGTATGGACACATTTTTCTAAGATTTTTGACAATACAGGGAGCAATGATATTGGGCGATAGTTAGAAACCAAAGTAGTGTCACCACTTTTATGGATAGGCACTACTCTCGCAGTCTTCCAAAGTTTGGGTATGTATCCAGACACCAATGATTCGTTAATTAGAGTTGAGACGGGTTTAGCAATTGCCGGCGCACTGAGCTTCAACAGCATTGCTGGGATTTGATCAGGTCCGGACTGGTTTTTCATTTTTAGATTATTAAGATGTTTTTTAATGACACTAACAGGTACAGGTCTAAAATTAAACTTATCTATATTGGGCCTTTGCAAATTTAGTGGGGCCTGATCCACATTTGTAGTTTCAGGATGCGTGTCATTTATTAGCTTGGCAATCAGGGCAGTAGAGCATCCGACAAAATAATTGTTAAAGGCATTTGCTACATCTAAGGGAAGTTGCAGGGTTTGGTTACCCACTTTGACAGTGGAGGGTTGGGAGTGGATTGGGGGAGTTTGTAGTTTATTTATGACTTTCCAAAAGTTTCTAGGGTTTGAGATGTTACTGTTCAGATTTTCATAGAAATATTGGGCCTTGGCCAGTTTTGTCTGTTTTGTGCATATATTTCGCCATTGTCTATATGCACTGTGATCATTCATAGAGTCAGTACGCTTAAATTTTGACCACAAAGAATCCCGAAACTGGTACATTTGGATGAGGTCAGCTGTGATCCAGTTCATATGCACTCCTTTTACCCTCACCTTACGCAGCGGGGCATGCAAATTCCAAATTTGTAGGAGTTCAGACTGAAAGTATTCAACAGCACAGTCTAGATCTGGGATAATGTTTAATCTGTGCCATGGGAGATTCTTGATGTCATTTAAAAAGGATTCAAGATTAAATCTTTTGAAGCACCTAGTTATTTTAACCTTGGGAGAGGATTTAATAGCCTTTATTTTGCGCACGCAGTACACTAAACAGTGATCACTGAACGTGTTTGGGAGAACACCAACCTCCTGGATTCTATCAGGAGAAGTGGAGAGAATCCAATCTAGCAGGGTATGGTTATGGCTTTTTATGTTTATGCGAGTTGGGGAGGAGATTAATTGCGTTAGCTGCAAAGTCTTAAACAGCGTGCAAGAACTATTATTTTTAGGGTTCAGCCAATCAATATTAAAATCTCCAAAGACCAACAGTTCACTTTTTGGGTTTTGAGCTATGGTTTCACTAAGGAGATGGGCTATGTCAGATAGGGAATGCACAGGGGAGCTAGGTGGGCGGTAGATTCCTGCAACAATGATTGATTTACTGCACGGGATCTCAATTTTGACAGAAAGGAAATCAAAGATGGCAGGAGGACTAAGGTTTTGTAAAGGGGTAAACTTTATGGAATTGTCAACATAAATAACAATGCCTCCTCTCTTTGCTCTGTCATTTCTAAAACATGAATAACCCTGTATTGCAATGGCGGTGTCTGGTATTTTAGCCGTTAACCATGATTCTGAGAGCACAATGATTTTTGGTTTGTAATGGGAACACCAGGCTTGCAGTGCATCCAGTTTAGGGAGTAAACTACGGATGTTGCAGTGCACAAAAGAGAGGCCTTTTTTAGTGGGGAGATTAGGACTAGAATTAGCTGGGGGACCAGGGTTAGACTCCACATCATTTGCAAGGGCAAGTAACATAAGGAGTAGAAATTTGGACATCATCTTTGTTTGGCCATATAGTGAATGGGATAATTTATAATTTTGTGAGTTGGGGGTAGGAGGGCTATTTTTTATAACTCTCCACCAGCACTCAGCAGATAAGTTAAAGGAACAGAGCAGGCCATGGTGTATTATAATTTGTGTTCCAGTTTGAGGTGCGTGCTTATGCTGGTAGTGGTGTGAACAAAATTGGATTGAGAAAAGGGTTATTAAGAATAACAGTATGGTTATATTAGGATTCGTGTTAGTGGTATGAGGTGTGTAGTTGAAAATGAAACAGAAATTGTGAGAAACTTATTTATTTATTTATTTTAAATAGAAGTATATGGTTTTAGTGTGTGATATATCTATTTGTAGTGAGAGAGAGTATGTGTTCTATAGGGTTAAGAGATTGAAAGGGTGTGCTGATCAGTGGTTGCACCTGTCATTTCAGTAGATTGAAAGTTGTGTGGGAGACTATCTATAAAGGAGAAAATGACCATGGGGTGGGTGGGCGAGGGGTAGGGTGGGAGGGAAAAGTCAGTCTTCCAGAAGGCTACCTGTTTCATATATTCAATTTTATATATATTCAATTTTGTGAACTGTATAACTATGCATTTGCTTTGATTAACCCTTGCATTGCTGTTTTATTTCTGAAGCCTTAGCAAATCTAGGTACATATATTCTAAAATTGGAGGGCACCTATCAAGCACCTATTAGCCAGTAATGGTGGGGAGGAAAAATGCCAGCTGGTCAATGGGGGCTTATAATGATGCTATGGAGTATGGGGGGGCTTACTTGTGTTTGAGGTAGCCAGTAACTGTTCGAGCGGGGTTATAGCCTATGACTTCAAATGTTGAGCCCTGTTTTATATAAATAAACGTGTTTAGGCAGATTCCTTTGTACCTCTCGCATGTGCCAATATTATTTTTTCTGACACTCATTTATTGTTAGTTTGTTTATTTACACTATATAATTGCTGCGGAATATGTTGGTGCTATGTAAACAATAATTATTATTGTCGTATACGTAAGTGTTTAACTGAACCTACAGACTGCTACTAACTGTAATTTTTTTCTCTCTCTGAACTTTCACTAACTTTGTTAGTAAAAAGCTGCTCTGTGAGCAGACTAATCTCCACCCCTTCCAGGCACATGCTCAGTCATATCACATATAAGCAGAGCCTGAGGCTGCTCTTAATCACATCCTTTTATCCGTGTGTCTACTATAAAAGGCTGGCAAGACAGAGGGTCCAGCCTGAGGTGTCACCAACTGAAGACTGGCAGAGGAAAACCCAGACTGTGAACTACTGAGCCAAAACTTGTGGGAGGATTTAAATAACAACAATACGCTGTGAATCCTGCTGGAAGAGCCCAGTGTTGTGATTTGAAGCCTCTGCCTTTTTTTCCAAGAATAAGGAGAGACCGAAGATACAGAGGGGGAGGAGGAAGAAATCATGTATTACATATGTTTACAGAAAGAAAGAACAGAAAAGAAAACGTGAAGTATAGCTAAAGGACAAAAGCAAAAAAAAAAAAAAGCAATCAAAAGAAACCGTGTAACAAAAGGAAGTTCTACACAAACAGAAGAAGAAAGAAGTATAGAAAACCGTGCATTGAAGTTGAGCTATATCCCATCCAGTGTCTACTAAGAAACAGAAGATGTTGAGTACAGCTAGCCAGAACCCTTTACTTTGGCCATTGATGTCCAGCCTACTGCTCTTAATGCCCTTGGTGCCTCCTAATGGGGCAGATGAACCTAACTGCCAAGGAGCCTTTGACCTTTACTTCGTGCTGGACAGGTCAGTACTAGCCTAATATTGGGCGATGCATAAATGTGCGCAATGGGTGTAACTGTACATACTCCAATGAGGGCAAACTTTCGTTCTCTGTGGACACTTTCAATGATTTATTTTGTATTATTATTTATATAGCGCCAACAAATTCCGCTTTACAATGGACGGACTAACAAACATGTAATTGTAACCAGACAAGTTGGATGCACAGGGACAGAGGGGTTGAGGGCCCTGCTCAATGAGCTTACATGCTAGAGGGGGGTGGGGGGTATAGTGACACAAAAGGTAAGGATAGTATTAGAGAAGTAGATTGGTAGAATAATATTCGCTGAAGACTTAGTGTTTTATTTTTTGTTTTGTTTTTTATGACAGTTGCAGGAGAGGAGTCAGTTAGGAGCTATTAACAGTTTAATTTATACGGTTTTGAGAAGAACATTTTTAATGATTTTTTGAAGGAGTGCATGAGTTAGGGTTACTTTACAAAGACAAAATACTAATATCTCTATATATTTGGTTATCACGAGAGAGAAAGTTTTTTTCAATTCTTTTTTTTTTCAGTAACGTTTAGGTGGGTGCACACCCTTAATGTAATGTGATGCTCATGCCCTCAGATACATGCAGAGATCCAGTAAGGTCATGATAGGGTTATTGTGTGCTGAAGGTGGGGGCAGTGTGCTGGGCTTTCGTGTGTTGGAGAATTCTGCTTGTGCTATTCTGATTGTGTGTGTGAGCTCTGTACAGAGGAGCTCTTCTCTACTCCCCTGAGTGCACGAGAGGTTAAGCAGATGTCTGCCACAAAGCATGCTTTTGCCCTTCCTAGTTATGCTAGGCTACATCATGCAGTGGGAATGAATATGACTGAAGCATTCTCTTTTCCAGAACATCTGCCTGTTTCATATTGACAGTGTTTTAATGTAACAATAACTTTTTTAACATAACAGAGTTAGTTAGAGTTAGTGCCTTCTTCAGCTTAGAAACATGTCTTAAAATTTCAAAAATATAAAAGCATATATAAAAAGTAAACTGACAGTGGGAAAATGGTGGTTAAACATTTTGTGCATAATTATTGGTACAATACAACAGCACATTAAAGGGACACTCAATGAGGTTGTCTGGATACAGTGGCCCTGTCCTTAACCGTGCAGTTTAAAACATTGCAGTTTGTTTTAGGAATGTTCACATTGCAGGGTAAAATCTACCCCTTGTGGCTGTCTTCCTGATAGTAAAACTCTGTCACATGATGCAGAAGCCAATAGAAAAGTATTTAAAGGGACACTGTAGGCACCCAGACAACTTCAGCTAACTGAAGTGATCTGGGTGCTGTGACGCTTTTGCACTTAGTGCTGCAATGTAAAACATTGCAGTTCCAGAGAACTGCAATGTTTACATTGCAGCTCTAAGACTGCCCCCAGTGGCTGCCTGTCAGACAGCCACTGGTCAGCGTTTCCTGAATCCAAATGTACTTTTGGTCTGATATCTGTTGCTGGACGTCCTTACGGACCTCCAGCATCAGATTTTCCCCATAGGAAAGCATTGAACATTTACACCTATATTATTGACAAAATTATTTAGTCTAATCTCAAGTTTTACATCCTATCTGAAAGATACAGGTCAGTAAAATTAGTAGTTGATTTTACTTTTGGTCACTAAACATGGAAACACTATAACACTTTGTCCGCCATTTTGTTTTCTTGTTTATTCCCGTTGTTTTATTGTTTCTTTGTGGGTAGGCCTTGTTTACCATGTAATGGAATTCAAAAGTGCTTTTACGCTTTTAAAATGGTTTGATTACCATAAGGGATGATTTTTATTGGTACACATATTTGTAAATATTTATTGGTACACAGATTAGCTTAAATGTGCTTTCATTCTAAACAGATATATAGAAAATAGTTTGCCTTGGCTTAGTGCTAGGCCTTGGCGCAACTGCTGACATTACGACGTATACACTCACATATGTTAGTGACATGAACATCTATATTTACATAGCTTATGGTTGAACCACATTAGCTTAAGGCTTGGAAGCCACCAAATGTGGGGTGCCACATTGTAGGAACTGATTAACCTCAAATGGTGTAGAAAGCACTTATGTTAAAAAAATAAAAAAATAAAAAATAAAAAAAAGGAACATATAAGCTATTTTGTTCTATGTAAAGGCAATTAAAATGTACATTACTCATTATTTGATTTGTTGCTTTCATTCTCCATGATTGGAATGTGTCCATCCTATTTTGTTTTTCATTGCAACATGTCGCATGCAGAGGTTGTAAAACAGTTGGGAAACTTGTTTATAGATGCAGAAGAGGGTTCTTTGGTGATGTCCTTAAAGAAATGGACATTAAGCAATAAGTTAATACTTTGAACCAACAATGGGGAAATCAACATAATAATAACAGCTTTCTCAAGAGCATGGAATACAACCTGCAAATCTGCTTAGTCTGAAAAGCAACACTCCAAGTGGGAGCTGACTCCATTTTGAATGCATTGCATAAACAGCACATTCAAGACAATCAAGCATACAATATATATTAAAAGTGCACCTTTAACCCCTTAAGGACACATGACATGTGTGACATGTCATGATTCCCTTTTATTCCAGAAGTTTGGTCCTTAATGGGTTAAACAAAACAATGATTGCATCTTTCTGCATTGAGCATTTCTTCTGACAAGTAAATGGCTGAAATTTCTCAGCCAATCGTCTGCTCTTTTCCTTTTTTTTTTTTTTATTGAATCATCTTTCAAATCCCATGATGGAATTGGAGTTCAAAATATATAAATATTGGTCAGTGCACACAAAAACATGCAGATACTTAAAGACTTTGTAGCACACCAGTCAGGGTTGGCATTTGCTGGGCAGCGTCAGCTGACACTCTCAGGCCTCCAGGCACCATAACAATATTATTGAGTTGACGTTGTTATGGTGTTCAGAGTGTTCTTTTAACGAGCAAATCTGATTAGCTTTGTGAATGAAAGAGATCAATAAAACTTGCTTACGTCACAAATTAAAATTAATTCACTTTTCCTTTTTATATAGTGAATGAATAAACTAGGTGGGCAAAATAGCTCTTGTCTGCTATCAACACCAATGTTTAAGGAACACTATAGTGACAGGAATAAAAATGTATTCCTAATGCTATAGTTTTAACTTATCTATGCTAGTTCTCCCCCCTCTCCTGCCCCTGAGCCTCTTTGAGTATTTCTTAGCTATTTGGGCAAATACGCCTTTAGTTTAAAGCACTGCGGAATAAGCTGGCGCTATATAAATACCAATAATAATCTCCTAATAATAATAATGGATGTCTGAGGCACCTAAACCTTGCAACGAAAACATACACGGTCACATTCCTTTCAGAATGGAAGTGTTTCCACTTACAGGGTTAAAAAGAGGGGGACATGGCACCCAGGCCACTTCATTGAGATGCAATGGTATTAGTGCCAGAGTCCCTTAAATGTCAACACCAATGTTTATATGTTAAAATGCTTTCAAAAGTAAATTGTTTTTCACAAATTTTCATTTCTTTTAGGTCTGGGAGTGTGGCGAGTAACTGGATTGAGATCTATTCATTTGTAGAGGTACTCACCGAGAGATTTGTGAGGTAACATTGTTTACAGAGATATAGCAGCACTTTCAATGTTATTATTGATCTAGGCATTCTTTTTGTGTACTCTGATCGCCACTGCATCCTGCTTTTATGCATTTGCATTATTCTCGTATTTTATTAACCTTTAGAAATTTTCATGGCTTATGTTTAGGGGTGAACTAATAAAATTATGGTTATGAGTTGATTTTTGAAAAAGCCATCAATTTTCACTCCCTGGACTTCCTAACTTCTCTACGGAGGTAATTGGTTAAATTGGGGGACTGGGTAAGCAAGTGGCAACTGAGATTCAGTACAGATAAATGCAAAGCTATGCATTTTGGAATAAGAAACCCACAAAATACATTAAAATGGTTTGAGTTAGGGATAACATTAAATGAAAAGGACTTGGGAACAGGCATAGATAATAAACTAGGCAACAGTATGTGATGCTGAATCTGATCTGCCATTGCAAAGGTTAGTAAGGTGTTGTCATGCTTAAAAAGGGATGTTGATTTACATGATAAAAATATAATTATACCTCTTTATAAATCAATGGTAAGACATCACCTTGAATATGTGGTACAATTATGGGCACCAGTTTTAAAGAATAAGATATTGCAGGACTAGAAAAATGTGAGCTGCAAAATTAATAATAGGTATGGGAAACATTAGTTTAAAGGCACATTGTAGTGACCAGAACTACTAGAGCTCAATGTTGTGGTCCTGGTGTTTACGGCTTGTACCTGCAGAACTAACTTCTATATGTTTTATCAAAGAAAAGGCAGTGTTTACATTGCTGCCTAGTAACACCTCTAGTGGCAGTCACTCAGACAGCCACTAGAGGTGCTTCTTTGGTTAGTGCTGCAGCTTAGGCCCATCTTGCGTTTTTCCCCCTCCCCTTACTTTTATGTTTCTATCTTCCTTCCTTCTCCTCCTTGCTTTCCTCTCCTTTCTATTCCTTTCATTTCTCTCCCACTTTCCTTTATTCTTCTCCCTAGTGCTGAGAGATTCTTAGGTTAAAAAATGTTTGGATTGGCAATTTCTTTTCACTATTATATATCTCCTATAGACCTGGCTCACATTTGATCTCCTTTGCCTATGACTTTAGTAAGATTGTTATCACTAGTGATGTACCAAACGGTTCGCCGGCGAACGGTTCCCGGCGAACATAGCATGTTCGCGTTCGCCACGGCGGGCGAACATATGCGCGGTTCGACCCGCCCCCTATTCGCCATCATTGAGTAAACTTTGACCCTGTACCTCACAGTCAGCAGACACATTCCAGCCAATTAGCAGCACACCCTCCCTAGCAGACCCTCCCACTCACTGACAGCATCCATTTTAGATTCATTCTCAAGCTGCATGCTTAGTAAGAGGGAGTGGGAAAGTGTAGCCGTTCATAAGATAGGAAAAAGCATAGCTAGGTTAGGATAAGGGTATGTTTTTTTCTATGTAATGTAAATGCACTTAGTTGTCTGCCACTGCTGCCAGCTTCTGTGCCGCCCTCACAGTGCCCATTTCAGTCAGTGCCACCAATTACATCTGGTGTCACAATAGCTTGGATTTAAAACAAAAAACTTTTTTCACTGTTATAGATTGAATAGCAGTCAGTTGTCTGCCACTGCTGCCAGCTTCTGTGTCAGGCTCACAGTGCATACTGTGCCTATTTTCTCATCAGTGCCACCACTTATATCTGGTGTCACAATAGCTTGGATTTAAAACAAAACTTTTTTCACTGTTATAGATTGAATAGCAGTCAGTTGTCTGCCACTGCTGCCAGCTTCTGTGTCAGGCTCACAGTGCATACTGTGCCCATTTCCCCAGTCAGTGCCACCAATTACATCTGGTGTCACAATAGCTTGGATTTAAAAAAAAAAAACTTTTTTACTGTTATAGATTGAATAGCAGTCAGTGTCCTTAAAGCGGGTGTGTTACGCTAACAGTGGATACGCTGACAAGTGCCACTAATTAGATCTGGTGTCACAATAGTTTGGATTTAAAAAAAAAATAATCTTTTTTACTGTTATAGATTGAATAGCAGTCAGTGTCCTAAAGCTGGTGTGTGTTACGCTAACAGTGGATAATGTACTTTGACAAGTGCTACCTAATTAGATCTGGTGTCACAATAGCTTGGATTTAAAAACAAAAACTTTTTTTACTGTTGCGATTGAATAGCAGTCAGTGTCCTTAAAGCTGGTGTGTTACGCCAACAGTGGATAAATACGCTTGGACAAGTGCCACTAATTAGATCTGGTGTCACAATAGCTTGGATTTAAAAAACAAAACTTTTTTCACTGTTATAGATTGAATAGCAGTCAGTGTCCTTGTGCCGGTGTGTTACGCCAATGCGATACGCTTTTTGACCAGTGCCACTAATTAGATCTGGTGTCACAATAGCTTGATTTAAAAAAAAAAAAATCTTTTTTCACTGTTATAGATTGAATAGCAGTCAGTGTCCTTAAAGCGGGTGTGTTACGCTAACAGTGGATACGCTGACCAGTGCCACCAATTAGATCTGGTGACACCAAGCTTGGATTTAAAAAAACAAAACACTTTTTTCACTGAACAAGACACACAGAGAATATAGAAATTAAGAAAAATCGTCTCCACTCCGTGCAGTTTAAGTGCAGCGCTAATTTAAAATAAAGTCAACTCACCCTGTTGATATTGATCGGGTGGTTCAACTTAGTTGGACATATATGAAAAAACACAAATAGAGAATATATAGTGCAGGGTTGTTTTAAACCACAAACTGGAGTTATCTACTTAATGGCACACTCACATGGTAACGAGCCTTTTTAGAAACAGGCTCTAAACTTTCCGGCTGGTATGTTATAGGGTAACATACACCCCCTTTTTCTGGATCTCTTCCCCGGTCACAATTACAATATGTATGATGGAGAAAGGAAAGAAAAGGATCTCTAAGTGAGATCTGCAGGTTTAAAAACACAATTCTAGATAATATAAAATTGCTCACCTGACTCAGAGCCTTCCAAACTGGCTCTGAGTTTCAAAAGTTTGTGTCAAATAAAGGGTGACAACCCCTTCTTGAACCTGGGCAACACCAAAGACTGGATCCACTTGTTAAACGGAAATGCACAAAAAAGTGCTATTTAATATGATTAAAATTAAAATTGAATGCAATTCAAATGCAAATAAAAATACATGAAATACAAATAAAAGAAAAATATATAAAAAGTCCGTTTGGATCCTTCCGAAACACGTTTCACCTATCCTGTAGGCTTTTTCAATCGGCATGGTGTTGCTTCCTGGTTCCAGTATTTACATCATCAGTATGAGACTTCCTCTTCAGCTCTGATCCTATCAGAATGCGTCCTTGTGTCTGACTCCTCCCCTTCACAGCTTAACTCAATGATATTACTGCATTGAATCATCTACAGATGGGCAGGACTACATCTCCAAAAATGCATTGCGGCCGCACTGTTTGGTCACTTCCGGTACGGCAGAAATGACAATCCCATCATACTTAGCAATACTATAGCGAATTTCGCTCAAAGTCGAAGGAGGGAGGAGAGAAAGATAATATAACATCAATGAATAAAAAGTTATTAAATCAGGCTAATGTAAAATAATGAAGAGATGTGACTCCAAACTTCACCAATATATATGTATGATACCTCACTATATATAATAATAAAAAAAAAATAAAAAAAAATAAAAAATTTAATTAAATATGGATCTGACACAGATATAATAAGCCTTTTGACTAAGTGTAGGTTTTAACAGGGATCCAATAGGTCACTTCTAACCTGAATTTGATCAGGCAGAGGCACAGTGGGTCACAAGAAATGGTACAACTCAAAGTCCACATTGAGACCATGCGGGACCAGAGTACCCAAATCAAAGATCCACCGCATCTCCGCCTGACCCAATTTCTTTATTATGTCATCACCCCTCCAATTGGGGTGGACTTTTTGAATAGCAAAAAAAGTCAAGAATTGTGGATCGTGGTTCCTTAAAATGAGACGAAACACTATGTTGCATAAATCCTTTCTTGATATTGCGAACGTGTTCGTTTATCCTTATATATAATGGACGTTTTGTTCTTCCTACATAGTATAAATTACATGTACACTGAAGTACATATATGACTTGCTTAGTATAACACGTAATCATATTTTTTATCTTATATTTCTTTTTCCCCTGAGGATGTAAAAAGGTGGTCACGCTTCTCTTGCTACTCCCTGTCCGTCTGCATGATATACATAGCCCACATCCAAAAAAGCCGTCTTTGTGTAAAAAGGTTTTTGGCTTATTGTCATTTTTTATATGGTTTTTAACTAGTTTTGATGCCAGATTTGGGGCTCCCCTATAAATGACTTTTGGCTGTTCTGGTAATAAATTATACAATATGGGATCAGCCCTCAATATTGGCCAAAATTTTGTAATAATTCGTCTAACCTGTTTGCTCTTCGAATTAAAGTTACATAGGAAGGGAATATTTTGATTTGTATTGGCATTTTTGCTCTTATACTCCAAAAGTTTTGGTCTTTCCTGAGATTTTATTTCTTCTATTGTACTTTGCAAGATATCATTATTGTATCCCTTTTCTAAGAAGCGGCTTTTCAATTTATTTGCTTGGACATTATATGTTGTTACATCAGTACAGTTTCTTCGTATCCGAAGGAACTGTGACTTTGGGATGTTTAAAAGCCACGGTGAGAAATGGCAGCTTTGTAAATCTATATAATTATTTACATCTACCAACTTGAAGTGGGTTTTTGTTTTTATAATGCCTTCTTCGATGTAAATTGTCAAATCCAAAAAATTCACACTCTGTCTACTGTACTCTGCTACCAAATTGATTCCCCAATTATTAAAATTTAAATATCCCAGAAACAGTTGAAGAGTCTCCTCTGGACCGTCCCAAATAAAGAAAATATCGTCTATGTAACGACGATAGGAAACGAGGTTTGCACTCCAGTCCGCGTTATCCAAAATAAAGACATGCTCCCATAGAGCCATAAAAAGATTCGCATAACTGGGTGCAAACCTCGTTCCCATCGCCGTACCGACTATTTGTAAATAAAAGTCGTTGGAAAACCAGA